TTTCATTCAGCATGTTGAGTCAGCGTCTGAGACTGCAGAGCCTGTCTGTGACAGAGGTCTCAGGCTGATGCAAATACTTTGATCACAGCCATGGTAAGAGGCATCATTATCAGTTTTCAAATGCTTATTTGGTCAATCAGCCTATATATATCTACATGGACTTGACTCATGGGGCTCGGTGGGGCACAGTCCCAAAGATCAACATGGAGTCACCATCCTGTGGGCTCACCAGTCGCAGAGGGACGGCGACCACCGACACCATGGCCTCCCTCCCACTGACAGTTAGCAGAGTTCCCCACTCCTCCAGGGTGGCAGAACAACATCCTGCATCCCACGAAGTGACCTCGGCTCCGCGCCGGGTGGCTCATCGTCCCACTGCAGGGTCTGATCAGCGACCTTCATCCCGGCAACTGACTTCCTGTCGCAAGATCCTGAAGGAAGCCTTCCTTGCCCTGCACCAACGGGGAGTCCTTCGGGGTCTCCTGTTGCTTCTCCACCACCGTGCTCACCGGCTCAGATGCACCATCCCCAGCCGACGGCGTCAGCACACAGCACAGAGGCTGAATGTGCACTCTCCAGCTCTGAGAACCCACTACTGTCAGGTCCTCGTCCCGTCTTTTCTCCAACTACATTAATTGTCGGTGATTCCATAATCAGAAACGTCCGTTTCTTTAACGCTGCCACTCATTGCTTTTTATTTATTTATTTGTTTATTTATTGAGAGGACAGTGCACATTAATGAACATTGCTGTAAATGTGCCAGTGTTAGCCAAAGGCTAATTTTCAACTGCAGTCCTCTGGCATGATGTTAAAAAGACCTCAGGCCAGACCTGGCTTTCCTGGAGCCACAGTCCCTATCACTTTGGATAAACTCCCAGGGCTGCTCCGCTCACTCCCTCTACTCCCTCTACACGGCAAGTGATTGTCCTCGTGGGGACAAATGATGCAGCTCGGAAGCAGTCTGAACTGACCAAGAAGGATTTTAACGACCTTCTTAACCTTTTAAGCACTGTTTTTACATGTCAACACGCAATTACAATTATTGTCACCTATAAGCCTCCAAATGCCAATACAAGCTCCTATTTATCGAAGACTGAAAACCCAGAACAAATCCTGTCTCCTCTATGACGCAGTGGAGTCAGTACATAAAAAATTCACTACTGCATACAAGATACAATCTCAACAGAGTAAATTACCATGGGTAAATTCTGAAATTCTGCAATTACTCAAACAGAAGGCACATTCTCTTCAAAGGTATAGATCATCAAAAACGCTGGTGAATAAAACACATTTTATTGAGATCAGAAATAAATGTTCGACTGAACTGCGTAACGCTAAGATTGCTTATTTTCAAAAGCAAATTACTCAAGCTGCATCTAACCCTAAAACATCATGGCAAACACTTAAAGTCATTACTGGGGAAAATGAAAAAAAAGAATGTCAATATTCAGATTTCTCTACATGAAACTCTTATCACTGAATCTGAAAAGATTGCAAGTGCTTTCAATAATTATTTTGTCCCATCTGTTAGAGAATTAGCATCAAAATTTGATACCCCCTTTTGTCCCCCATCAGTTTTTTTTCATCACTTTTCCTTCTATGAGATTACACAAACAGAGCTGTCTGAGACATTTAATTCTTTGAAAAATTCTCATGCCCGTGATATTTATGGTTTGAATATGCATTTTTTAAAGATTCAGGCTGATAGTTTCATGCCCCTTTTACATCATCTGATGAATCTCTGTATCAGGCTTTCTGTTTTTTTTGCAAAGCCTTTGATATGGTGAATCATCAGATTTTATTGCACAAACTTAGTTCATTTCAAGTTTCTTCTTCTGTGGTAATGATGCTCTCATCATACTTATCAAACAGGTCTCAGGTGGTCAGAATCGGTCATATAACATCTTCCCCTTTAATATGTGATATGGGTGTTCCACAGGGTAGCATCTTGGGTCCCTTACTCTTTCTATTGTACATCAACAATCTTCCCGATGTGTGCAGATACTCCAATTGTCTGCTATATGCTGATGACACTGTCATTTTTCTCTCTGACACAGAGCCTAATATTGTAAACTTTAAACTCTGCTCTGATCTTGGTATCCTACATGACTGGTTGAATGGTAACCACTTAACTATCAATGTCAAGAAAACGGAATGTATGTACTTCCACTCGCCCAAGAGATCAATATTCATCTCAGACCCAATCCACTTTGCTAATCAAAACCTATCCATCACAGAAACCTATAAATATCTTGGAGTATCTCTTGATTCACATCTCACTTACCGTAATCATGTTCATTATTTAACAAAGAAACTCAACCAGAAATATGTATATACCAAGATCAGACCATATCTTACCAACGTTATCTCTAACACGTATCTACATGCAGTCATTCTCTCAACAATATCCTACTGTCTCCCAATCTGGTCCCTCACCACAAAATAAATTACTGAACCAATAGCCAGACTGTACAATAGAGTTTATAAGATCCACGGTAAATTTCTCCTCTGGACTCACCATTGTACTGCACTTTCAAATTTGAATGCCTTGACCTTTCAGAACTACACAAATAATCAGGCTATTAAATTTTATCATTGGATACAAAACAATAACATGTCTCCAGCACTTGCTGATCTAGTTCCAAGACACAACACAGGACAGGAATGCATCACTAGATCAGTCTCCCAAGCACATATCCCAGCACCAGCCTATAAAAATAGCTATGGTCAGAAATCATTTTTTCACACATATACCAAACAATTGAATGAGATCCCATTTCATATTAGAACAATAACCTCTGTTGTACATTTTAAACAGGCATACAAACACTGCCTGATGGAAGGATACACCCACAACCACTGATTTAACCCATAATTTGTGCGTACTTCATTCAAGTCCATGCCTCTCTATATGTTCATGTTACTGTTTGCTTTTATGTTTTTGTTAGATGTCACTGTTTTTGTGATATGTTTCTGTCTTTATGTGTTGCAGAACCAGAACCTACTGTAAACCAGTTTTAACTGAGTCAGGCCTGATTAATTGTGACTGATCTATATTATGTTATTTTTACAGGAAAGGATTAAAAGTAATAATGAATGAATGAATGAATGAATGAAATGAGTGAATGAAAGATATGCTTCAGGGTCGGGTGCATTGTGAGCCACAACATTGCCCCGGACAGTTGCATGATTGATTTTGAAAATTTTGTGGTCAGTGTACAGAAATTGCTCAACTTCAGCAAACACTGAAATGAAGAGACTCGGAGAACCACGGAGAAAAGTTACAGCCAGTGGGATTACTTTAATTGCAAAGTACAACTCAACAATACAGGTCGTAGAAAACAGCGGACACAGCCCCGCTCATGCAACTTCCAAAAACCTTTATACTATCTGAGTGAGTGAGCATCTGTTCGTTTGTGTGCGTGTGTGCAGATGTGCCTGGGTCTGGGACCTAACCGTTCTGCCAAGTTTGATTTCCTGGAAATGATCGTACAAGAATTACTCAATTTCTCAAAAACAACTCCTAAAAGGAGTCCTTCCCAGTAACTCCAAAGTACAACAACTCGACAGTATTCAAAAACAACTTCTTAAAAGGAGTCCTTCCTATTGCGAAATCTGACATCTGGTCAACTGTTTCTATGACCTTTTGAAACTGACATTATTTTCACATTTGATATAGAACAATACATTATCTGCCTCTACATCAGCTCTCACACATGGGAGTCCTACAGGGAGGAATCTGGTGGTCCAACATGAGGTTACAGTTAAAATAAATAAACAGATAAAAATAATCAAAGACAAAAGTAAGATATCAACACAGCTATCAGGGCATGGGGAGGAAGCAGTAGGAAGATGTTTGCCTGGCCCTGAAAATGTCCAAAACAATGCAGGGTAAACACGTGTGGGCTTTAATGTCACTACCAACATTGGTCACATCAGGACGGGTTCTCTCTGATGTGAACACGTTGGTGGATTTTTAGGTCATACCTTTCAATAAAAGCTTTCTCACACTAGTCACAGTTGTATGGGTTCTCTCCTGCATGCCTGCATTGGTGGGTTCTCAAAGTACTGCACCAGGCAAATAATCTTCCACATTGATCACACCAGTACGGTTTCTCTCCTGTGTGAATACGTTGGTGGCTTTTAAAGGTCCATGGCTTTGCAAAGGCTTTGCCACACTGATCACAGCTGTATGGTTTCTCTCCTGTGTGAATGCGTTGGTGGAATTTTAAGGTCCATGACAGTGCAAAGGCTTTACCACATTGATCACAGCTGTACGGTTTCTCTCCTGTATGAATACGTTGGTGGCATTTTAAGGCCCCTGACTGTGCAAAGGCTTTGCCACATTGATCACAGCTGTATGGTTTCTCCCCGGTGTGAATATGTTTATGAGATATTAAGGTTCTTATTTGGGAAAACTTTTTCCCACATTGGTCACACCTGTATGGTTTCTCTCCTGTGTGACTGCGCTGATGGGCTTTCAAGTGAGCTGACTGTGTGAAAGCTTTGCCACATTGATCACAGCTGTACGGTTTCTCTCCTGTGTGAATTCTTTGGTGAATTTCAAGGGACGTGCGTTGCGAAAAAGTTTTCCCACATTGGTCACAGCAGTGCGACTTCTTTGCAGTGTGAACACGGTGGTGACTTTTTAAGCTACGTAGAGTGGTGAAAGCTTTCTCACATTGATCACAGCTGTACGGTTTCTCTCCTGTGTGAATTCTTTGGTGAATTTCAAGGGACGTGCGTTGCGAAAAAGTTTTCCCACATTGGTCACAGCAGTGCGACTTCTTTGCAGTGTGAACACGGTGGTGACTTTTTAAGCTACGTAGAGTGGTGAAAGCTTTCTCACATTGATCACAGCTGTACGGTTTCTCTCCTGTGTGAATTCTTTGGTGAATTTCAAGGGACGTGCGTTGCGAAAAAGTTTTCCCACATTGGTCACAGCAGTGCGACTTCTCTGCAGTGTGAACACAGTGGTGACTTTTTAAGCTACGTAGAGTGGTGAAAGCTTTCTCACATTGATCACAGCTAAACAGTTTCTCTGCTGTGTCAATGTCTTGTTTTTTTGAGCTCCCTGACTTTGTAAAATCCTTCCCACTTTGGAAAAAACTGGACAGTTCCCCTTCAATGTGAATGCGTTGATGGGCTTTGAGGGCACTGCAGCGCAAAAATGTTTTCTCACAGTGGTCACAGCTGTATGGTTTCTCTCCAGTTTGAACTCTTTGATGAATTTTTAAAGGTCCAGATGTTGTGAAGGATTTGTCACGGTGGTGACGTATAAGTTCCTCTCTTCCTCTCTGTTCCTATACCAACAAACAGAAAAAGAGTTAATGAGTTGTCATGGTGCAGCGAGCCAACTAAAACCATAAATAACATTTAAAGCATGTCTGCCAAACATAACCCACAATGTCTGACTAATGCATTACCACCAACAAATGTTATGATAAATAACTTACAGAATAGTTTTTATTTAGGTTTTGACTTTTTGATAGGAATTGATACCAATACTACTTATCAATGCGACTCTCACTGATACTTCTCTCCATAATTTAGTGGTTTAGTGGTTTTGGGTTGGACCTGAGATTCTTGACTTGTGCTCATGTCTCCCCCATGACTGTACAGGCTAACCGCCACACCAAAGTCTTTTCTCATTTTCTTTAAATATTTATCAGTTACTTTTCATAACCCACATAAACCATTTGTCATAAATCAGACCAGACTGCTTTCATTGACTTAACAATGGCAGCATCTATAAACCAGACACAGTGGGTGGCGCTACATGTACCTTTAAACTTGCTTTGCAAGCCGCCAATAAACACAGAGAAGAAGAACAACAACTGCAGCACGCTGTCTAGAGGGTAAAACACGTCGCAGTGTGGATGTCTTTCACAGTTTCAGAGGAAGACAACAGGATTACACCGAGGGTCTGATGTCTGACCACCCGACAACCCCCAGATCAACAAACTCCCTGGAACCGGTGAACAGGTTATACATATATATATAGGCTGGTGTATGATGGGACGTTGAGAGATGTAAGGCAGCAGATGTAAGGCGGAGCTGCTGATGTTGATGTTCATCAGCTGTCAGTGTTTGTCTGTTAGTAGAGACTCCACTCTGCAGTGTAGTTTATACAGAGAATTACACAGTAACACTGGGCTTCATCATCACCATCATCATCATCATCATCATCATCCTCTGTCTTAACATTAATGTTACATTTAATACTGATTAAAATGTGTCAAATGAAGTCAGGTTGATTTGGTTCGGTCAGAGCTGTGGAATATTAAATCAGCCTTTCTGACCCTCAGGTGAACATTAACTACAATAGGCTCGTGACAAACTGTCAAAAAGGGCTGTAGTTTTTGAGATACCCCATACCGGAGGTAGAACAAAACCTAACAATGTTTTTCCTCATCTCTAAGGTCTCACATATATGAAATGGATTCTTAGGTTTAAATATTTTACTGCAAACATTGTTAAATTGATACATATTGTTATACACCCTAAACCTAAAAAAGAACCAAAAATAGCCTGTGCTGAATCCAGCAGTACTAAATATGTGAATATAACATGCATAGTCAGTGTGTTATATCACTAAATGTATGAAGTGTTCCAAATGAAGGAAAGTGAAACATTGACATAATCAAGTCTCCAAAGCCCATTATCAATGGTGAGAAGAATGTTGACCAATTCAGTGTTACTACAAACTAAGTAAGTCACTTGAGGTTACTGCTGCCTATATGTATGATGCATTTCATAAATGGTAGGTTCATATGACACCTTTTAATATATAGTTCCTATGGAAACAAAGATTGAAATTGAAAGGAGACAAGAAGGCGACAAGGATACAGGATTGTAGTTTGGCCTTGATGATCCTTTTAATAAAACTATAAACAAAACTCTCTGAGGAGGAATGACCCCTCTCCTCACGCTAAACTCTATCTCTTTGGCTGGTGTTTTTCATGGGCTGTGTAGTCATCACTGTCACTCATCCACATTATCTTCAGTGACAAAGTGGGTCATATTTGGGCAGTCTGGGAAAGAGCAAGAACAAAACTCAGTGCATGTCAAGCCCACTGAAAGACACTGGCATTTGCTTGTGCCATTGTACTTTCCATCTTTATAATACAGGTGGGTGATGTCTCTAACTTCCTTAGGTGCTGGTGCCTTCTGGAACACGATAGGTTCAACTGACCCATCTTCTCTGAGCCTCCATCCTCTACCAGCTAGGTTCCAGAGATGAGGCTTGGCCAGGTGGCTGTGATGCCACACTGCTGTTTGGTATAAGGCTCTTAACACATGTTGCTGGAAGGCATCTTCTGTTGGGGGTAGATTTGCTGCCGATGAATCTGTGGTAAATGCTCGTTTGTACCTCAGCTCATCGAGGTTGGTGCAAGGATGGCAGGTGGCTTTGAAAATGGTAAGGAGGTCAAGAGGGTTAGCAAGTCAGGTGCTGACTGCTTGACAGATCTTTACAGTGACCAGGAAGAGGCTGACACAAGACTGGTGTTACATGCAATACACCTTGCAGAGTCACATTCCCGTCTCATTGTCAAATGTGATGATACAGATGTACTGGTTTTGCTTGTGTATTATTCAAGCAAAGGGATGTTTGAATCCTTACAAGTGTCCATGCACTCTGGACATGGCTGAAAGGAAAGATTTGTCCCAGTTTGTTTACGCTCTTTACGCACAAAATACGTACCGAAATGGAACCGAAACCGTGGCCCAAAAACCGAGGTACGGACCGTACCGTGGGTTACCTGTACCGGTGCACCCCGAACTATTACCCAGTCCCAATCCCAAAAAAAGAAATACAAAAGGAGATTTGATGATCAAGATGAACGACTCAAACTCTTTGAACGTCGGATGGAAGGCAATACTCAAGCCATAAAAGAAAATAAAGATGAAATCGGTAAAATGAAAGAAGAAATAATGTGCCTGAAAAAGGAAAACATCTCCTTGAGACAGGCGTGTTTGGAGCATGTCAGATACAAAAGAAGATGGGACCTCAGGCTAATAGGTCTTCCTGAAAAAGAAGAAGAAAACACAAGAGAGGTGGTGATTGGAATCCTTACCCGGGTGAATCCACGGCCAATGGATAAACTTGGTGAGACAGTGGACACAGTACATCACTTGGGAAAGAAGAATGACGCCACTACCAACAAAATGCCCAGACCAATAATCATACAGTTTGCAATGCCAACTATTCAAGATGAGATATGGAAAAATCAAGAGAGGCGAGAGTCTGCACAGAGATGAACATTCAGTTCAAGGAGGACTTTTCAAAGGAGGATCGTGAAGCTCCGGCTAAGCTGTGGCCCAAGGTGCAAGAAGCCAGAAGAAATGGGAAAAGAGCCTTTCTCAAAGAAGGCTACGCACTCATTGAGGGACACAGAATTGATCCATAACTGATATTTTCAGCAAGGTAATATTCAAGCACCTTGTCAAAATATACATGGTTTCATTACAAGTATATTTGATGAGAATTTAAACTGATAATACTTCATAAGACAAAATTTAAAGCCCAATAAGTTGGTATGGTTATGTTCTAAGGGCAACATATTTCATTCCTGCATTATAAGCAAGTTAAAGACATAT